TAAGCACTATTTCAGTAGTGCTTGTCACAAAGACCATTCTTCAAATGTGATGATGTATAAGGTACAAATACAATATGCATTGATTTATGTTTGTAGAGGAGTATGTCCTCAAAGTCAGGTCAGGAGTCATTAACATGTTTCTTTCTTCCCTTTTCCTTTAGTTATAAAAATTAAAGAATACTACATTCTCTGCTAATTTGCTAAAAACGAATACAGGAAGTGCTAACTTTAGCACTCATGGACTAAAAGCAGCTTTTGAATCATGACAAGATTCAAAAGAGTGTTCATGAGGCAATGGCATAGTTATTGTGGGGGAATTTTAGCAGCTGAATTGAGTATTTTATGACTAATAATATGCCTTAAATAAAGTGTACATTAACGTGTGTTGGTTAAAAGCTGGCATGAACGATTATTACTCCCTAAATCACATGTGCTGAAATTATACTGCAATCAAATCACTTAGGAAAAGATATGGTGATCCTCAAATGGCTAAGTTTCTATTATTAGTAGGCATTTGGCTTCATGCTACAAATTGCCTCTGTGTTTGGCAAATGTGGCACATTCTGATATTAGAACATTCACATTCAAGATATTAGAACGACTTTGGTCTTACCCCTTCAAAATGTTAAAACTGTTAACCATTGTTTTGCAGAAAACTCACGAGTGAATCTGAGAATCATTCAGAGCATTTCTGCAACTATAACACAAATACTCATCAATGAAAAGGGAATATTTCTCATTAAAAATCAAGATAGGATGAATCGGCATCCAAAGACTACCTTTAAACAACCCCCCTTTTAGAGGACTTACAGTGGCATTATTTAACAGGCTTTGTTTACTGGAGGGGGCGGGCCTGGAATAACTTCAAGCAGCTGGCAAATTGCCATCTGCGGTTGCTCTAATTGGTGTGTGCACTGAGGGGGGAGGAGGGAGTGTTTCCTACCTGAGGAGGGTGTGAAGGATGCATCAGCACTAGCGATGGCTGACAAGGGAAACACACTGCAACCAGGTGCAACAGTGGACTTGAGTTCAAGAACCTGACAACATGAGCTCACCGTAGGTTGAATTTGAGCTACATTAGGCAGGGGGAGCTTCCTTCTCCCAACTCCCCCCAGGGCTCTGTGACTCTTAGGAGCAGGACTATATATTAATACTGCATCTCTAAGGCCTAACAGAAGGCCTGCTCATGGTGGGTATGGAAAAGAAGAAGCGAGGAAGGGATGGAAGGAGGAAGACGGACAGAGAGACAGAGAGAGAAAGGTGAGGGGGGTGGTATGGAAAGAACTGTTAAGTTAATGTGCCTCAAAAAGTGGTAATGAATTCTCTTCCCTTGGTGCAAAGAGGCCCCACATATTCTAATTCCTTTTGATGTTCTTTCCTCTACCCAAATTGACACTTTTGCCTATGCATAATTCCATGACTGCTGGGCGGGGGAAGAAGGCCCCTTATGAGAAGCTGTCCAAGTACAGAAGCCAGCAAAGAGAACTGCTTCTGTCTCCTGAATATCTGCCCTCTGCTAAGAGGCTAAACAAGATGTGGATGCTATGCAAAGGGTGTTTAAGCCATCTCTCTTCCCACCTAACAGAAGTTAGGTATACCTCATTATTCCTATTAATTTTTAACTTTCACTAAGTTCCAGAAGGGGGAAAAATCTGACATTTAGGACTTTAGAGTCTTTGGCTTGAATGTTCTCTCCAGAGTTAAACTGACAGCAGTTGGAAAAAATAAATGTATCGGAATGCAACAGGCATATGCAATTATTTTCACAACCTGAACTAAACAAATGTCCTCGTGGGCAAAGAAAATGTCAAATATGTGTCCAAAAATAATTCTGTTTGCAAATTTGTTATGAAAACCTTGAGATGAAATTAAAAAATGTTTGGTATTTAATAGGATGACCTGCTGACGCAGTGGCTCTCACTAGATGTCTTTCACTCATGAATGATAAACCATTTTGGGTGCAAACAATCTATTTCATAGAACTTGACCAGTACTTGGTGGCCATGCTTAATTAACATTTCACTTCACAGACAACATAAGAGGATTCTAAATCATACTCTTGTCCCTTTTTTTTTCCATTTGTATAAGTCCAAATTCTGACTAAGATTTCATTACTGGTTAATTCTGCAGTGTGATGTTTTCTTAATCACAGTTTATTCAAATCTTTATATTTGAGTTAAACATGCATAGTTTTTGTTTCGTTAAATAAAAATACATGTGATTATTGCATTACAGACTTCATTTCAGGTGATTATCTTTAATCTGATGAAAGGCAGTGTTTATAAAGTTGCCATTCTTTGCGCACAGGTAATTCAGTGGTAATGAATGTCAGGGAATCTTATCTCCTTGGAAACTATGCATATGATTATTCAGTTGTTCATTTAACAGATTTTCCTGGGTGACTACTGTGTGCAAGGCATGATGCTATGTGTTTAGCATCACTATCAGGTGTACAGACTATCAGGTTTGGATTAAACAGTTTAAGGATACCTGAAGTGCTATTTATCTGCACATGTGAAGCACAGCCTCAACTATAAACTGACCACATTTTGTTTGTTTTTTGGATTTGAAAAAACAATGTGCCTTTTCTCCCCTTAAAAAAAAAAAGTCACTTTAGCCCTTTGGTACATAATCTAAAAACTCCATTGGTGGTCCTGTGACTCATGGGGCATAACACAGGGGAGGCATACCCCAGCATTCCTGTAAGTAAGCCCAGCCACGCCTCCTCCCTACCCAAATGAGCCTCCATCCTAACTCCATTAGGGAGCAGTGGCTCTGTTCTGAAGCTAGCTTGCTCTGTAGGTGTGAAAACCCCAGCAAGGGGTGCCAGATCCACTGAGACTAAGAGCTGAAGGCAACCAACATCCTGGGAAACAAAAAGACCTGCCTGTCTGGTGTACTAAGGCCAAGAAGTACAGTGCTGGGAGAAATCCTGTTCATTGTCTGGCTCTGTATCTTTTCAGATGATGAAATGAAACTCGGGGAGGTAGAAATTTGCGCACAGAAAGCCCTGGTAACCAGTAGCTAAGATCTAAATACAGGTTTTTATCGACGACAGGATCAGGTTTACAGATCCCATGCCTAAATAATTCTTATCATGCATGAGGTCCACACAGATTAGGGGAGGGTAAGTACCGATGCTAATTACTGGTACCATACCAGCTGTACTGCACTCTAGGCATAACAAATATCATGATATGGTGGGAATTAGAGCCTATTAAATACTAGGCTATGTAACAATTCCGATAATAGGAACTACTGAAATAAGAAAACATTGCAATTCTATCAACACCTTCCCCATAGTAGTGATACTGTGTGCACACCCCGATACAGAACAGGGTGAGGTTCTATTTCTGCTGCCCTTGGCCAAGCTCGAGGAAAAGCCTGACTCTCCAAGGGGAAACAGAATCCATGCCTCTCACTGCAACACTAGGAGCATCTGGCATCTGGCCGTGAGAGGCGCTGGTGCGAGACTTCTTTGCCTTTGTGCAAGGGCTGCCTCCGGCCACCCTGTCAGTCTGGTATCTTCCTTAGGCTCTTTAATCTCCTGAGTCTCTCGGAGACTCGAGAGATGAAAAACGAGGGCTGCGTGAAGCTCGCATAGTCCAGGGGCACCTCTGCGAGGCCACTCCTAGCTGGGCGCAGGTCCACCTCCGGGCCTCCCTGCCTGACGGCAGCGCTTGCGTGTTGGCACTTGCGCGCTCCTCCAAGCTAGTTTCACCCGGGATTTGGCTCGGTTTGCCCGCAGCAGCCCAATTCTCCGCTAACCTCCCAGACCCAAGCACAGGAGCCTTCTCCCGCCCTTCCCGGTGGCTCCTCCTCCAGAAGTGACACCCTTCTGGGAAAGGGGACTCCTCCCTTCCACCCCCCCACCCCCCACCCCCGCCCAGCACTGCGAGGGGTGGGGGAGTGGGCGGGAACCGGTGCCAGCCGGTGATTCCAGGTGGTGCCTCCCGCCCTCCCCGAGCTTGGCCCAGCCCAAACCCCTAATAGCCTGGCGCTGGGAGCCTCCCCGCCGCGGGGTACCCGGCCCTCTCTACCACCGCGCGGCCAGATAGGTGGGTGGGCGCGGGGGATAGGAGGCGATAACCCGGCCTTGAACCCCAGACCCCTGAAAATAATTTACCACGAAGCCAATAATTCAACTGGACAGGAGGGTCAAGGGCAAATTGTGCCGCCCGCGGCCTTGTAGGCTGGCAGAGGGTGATGCAATGGGGGTCAGGAAGAAAGGGCGAGGGCCGCGGGTGGGGGGTGGGTGCGTGTGGCGGCGTGATCAGCGGGGGCCAGCTGGGGTTGGCTGTGGGTCTACAGATTCGCACCGAGGCTACGCGGCTGGCCGGGGGCAGGAGACTAGGGCCGCTCGGCCCGGTATTGCCCGCGCCACCAGCGCATTCCTGGCTGCAGGCGTCACGAGCGCCGCGGTTGCTCGCGCTCACGTTACTCTCGCTCCAAGCGCTGAATACACACGTTACTGCGTCGCTTCGGGGATTTTCTCCCACCTCCCACTACTCGCGCTGCGCTCCCCGCCTCTCCGACAGCCTTCGGGTTAGATCCCGGAGGGGCGCTCGCTACAAGCCTGGTATTTCGGGGCGTCGCACGCATCTCCCCAATACCGGGCCACCTTGGCCGCCCACAGGCAACTCCGGCATGACACCCACACCTCCGGCCAGCGGCTCAGCGGCCACCTGGCTACAAGCAGTTCCCACGGCGGGGTCACCCAGCGGGCACACAGCGCCCTTCTCCCCCCCCACCCCCCCCGCCATTCCTCCCTACCCATTGTCGCCCCCCCACCTCTCCCCAGAGGGGACAAGATTTTCACCCAGCAGGGACTGCGGGAATCCCACGGAAGAGGCAAATTTAACCCAGGGGCGCCGAGTGCGCTGGTGGTGCGCGGTTGTGTGCTTGGCAGTGAGCCACACGCGGCGTCCCGAGACCCGCCACGCGCCCTGGAGCTGCTGGAAACCCGCCCCAAGCGCCACGCGGTCCGAGGACTCTCTTACCCGAAGTGTCCCACAGGCTCAATTCTATTCTTTGTGTGTCGATTTCAAAACTGGCCGTGTAATTCTCAAACACTGTAGGGACGTAATTCTGGACAAAATGGACAGAGGAAGGAAAGAGGGCAAAGAGATTATCCAAGATGCACGACACCCGCAGAACACCCTATGAAAATCGCTTCCTCACTCCCCAATTAAAAATTGATGCACACACACATATCGCACACGCCAAATCACACACTAAACACGCAGACCCTTTCCGAAACCCCTGACTCACCACCCGCACCACCCTGCTTTCCAAGACCTGAGGATCCAAACCTCCCAACCCAGGGTTCCGCACACATGACCGAACAAGTTTCAGGAGCTAATAGCAGAATGTGAAGATGCGTCCCCTACACGCTTCCAGCTCACTTTCCCTTTCCAGGCAGTCTAAACAGGGGAAAAGTAGTAAAAAAACGACTGCTTGAAAGAAGAAAATCGGGTGAAGGAGGAAAAGCAAGGAGAAGCCCAACCCAGGACGGAGGGGCTCCCGAGGGCCGACCCCCTCCTCCAAGCCTCGGCCGGTCACACTCACCTCGGGGAAGCAGTCTTTGGCGAAGACATGCAGCAGCGCAGTTTTCCCACACTGACTGTCTCCCACTACTACTATCTTGCATTTCACGTTCTGATTAGGATCCATGATAGATTTACTAGATAATTTCTGGCTGGCTCTTCTCTCCTTCATTGATCTTGCCTTATTTTCTCTTGGAACAGGAATTTTTCTCTTAAGAGGAAAAAAATATATATTTCTCTCTCTATAAAAAACAGATATAAAAATAAAACGCAAAGCTGGTGGGACCTCCTGAAGCGCAGCGCAGACGAGGGCCTGAGGAGCAGGCTCCTTACTCGCCACCAACAAGTTTTATGCCTGACTCCACACCGCGCTTCTCAAGTCCAATTCCGATCCGACTGCTTTGTTTCACGCTCTCTGCGCGGCTTTATACGCCCGGCCTTCCAATCCTCTTTCTCAATGAGAGAAGGAAACTGATCTGCCTCCTCCCCTTTTATGGAGCCTGGGAGCAAGCGCCGTCTAGTTACTCGCGGAAAATGTAAACAGTGCGCCCTCTAGGGTGACCGTGCGGGATCAATTTCCATACTAAGTCTAGGGCAACTCGGAGACCCCAGCCTTGCTCTGCTGATGGATAGGATGGTACAAGTCCAGAAGGAGGTGGGAAATGGGATATCTGTGCGTATTGATTTTTATTAAGATTCCTTTAAAAACGTTTTCGTAGGGGCTGCTTTCCATAAGCCTCATGAACATTGATGAAAGCAAAACCATTTCTCACCCAAGTTGAAACATAGTTTAAAAACATGAGAAGCAAATCTTGGGTTGGAAAGGGTTAAGTGGTTGTATTTTTTTTTTTTTTTAAAGAAAGAAATGGTTTGTATCACGTATATAGGCCATGGAACAATAACTAAGCCAGGCTATTTCAGATGCGGGAACTAGCTTCTCTGGGTCACAGCAACACCCTGGTTTCTGAAAGCTGTCAGTTTCAGTCACTCAGGAGGAGGCAGAAAGGTTTGGGGGAGTGGGTAGAAGAGGTGGAAGCAGAGAAAAAAGGAAAGCAGAAGATGCTTCTAACTCAGTGCAAAAGCGTTAGAATCTCAGCCCTACTACACTGGGCACGGAAACACACAAGGCAGCCGTTGCCCCTTTTGCAGTGAGGACACTGTGTAGGAGGGATTCTGATCCTGCCCTTATTTCCTCTCTCTGTAGCTTCCCCTTCCTTAGAATTAAAGCAACTTCAGCTGTACCCAGAAAACACAAATACGCTTAGTTGGAAAATGCAAGTAAAACTTTCCCTTCCCTCTCTACCTCTTCTTTACATCCACCCTTCTAACCACCCACCCCAAAAGTCTAAAAGAGTAAAAATGGCCACGCATTTGTTCTTTTTTCCCTATCAGAAGCCCTTCTTTTCTCATCTTCATCTTCTGTGCTTCAAATGGAAAGATTTCTACTATTAAATTTTAGTAAGGACAGGGGAACCTGGTGGCTCAGTCAATTAAGTGCTCTGACTCTTGATTTCCATTCAGGTCATGATCTCATGATGTTGAACCCCACTTTGGGCTCAGTGCTGGGCATGGAGCCTGCCTAAGATTCTCTCTCTCCCTCTCCCACTTCCCCTTTCCCATGTTTTCTCCCCTTTCCCCAAATTGTAGTAAGGACATTGGCTAAACATCTCATAGGTACCCTTATGGAGACTTCTAGACTTATAAATGAGAAGGTGAGGTGAAAATCCACAGCATTCAGTATGCAGAGTGACAAGGCATACTGAAAGGGGGTTAAAAGCACAAATGTAAGTATTGGAGGCTAAGACCATGAAGCCTCATGGGTCCAAGGATGGTCTAGTCTTCCTTTCAGAGTTGAGAAAACGGTGCTCTAACCCGCAGCCTGTGGGTCTGTGTTTACATACATGCTGGGCTGACCCACAGAGAAAGGGATAGCTGGCCCTAATCAGGTTCCCAAAACAGCATTGGCCAAAGATTCCTCTGCAGAACTTTAGTTCTTCTCACAAAAAGTGTCCTGTGTCCCAATAAGTAATGGAGACATTGTGCCCATACCACCCCTTGAAGATGCACCAAGCACTTTGACATGTCACAGACACTAAAAAGTTCTAGGGAAAAGTAGCCTACTTAATATAGTTTAACCCAGCTTTTCCCAAATCTACTTCAGTATAAGAAACTTTTTATCGAATTATTTGCTAGTTCATTTGAGAAGCAATGGGCACTGTGGTTGGGGGCAGGAGATCACAAAGAAGTGTATCTGTGTGACCTTATTCAACCTCTCTAAGTCTCAATTTCATCATCAGTAAAATAGGAACCAAAATACTAATGATGAGGAAATGCAAGTGAATTTTGCAGAATAGTTTCTGGCACAACAAAGCATCTCCAATCTATTTTATATTTTGCATGTAACTCTTATTTACACGTCTTAAAATTATGGAACATATCTTGGGAAATACTGGCCTCATTAGTGGACTCACTAATTGGAACTGGGAGAAATAGACCCACCCCCACCTTTTTTTTTCTCAGATTTTTAACTTAAGAATTTGCCCTTTTATAGAGCTATGATTTGACCTTCCACATTACAGAATTGATGTAGTCTATGTGGTTAAACCACTCTAACTAGCAATAATTATGAAGTATTAGTTTTTGGCCGACAATGAATAGGATAGCTATGTAATTTGTCGTATAAACTGGGCACTTGTGAGAGCAAGAGAGTACTCTAATGATTATGTCAGAACAACGGCTGTAAACAGGGTCTATCTCAGGCAAAATGAGAGCCATAATCACTTTACCAGTGAATAATCTAAAATCATAGTGGATAACTATTTTTGGAAATAAGGTGACCCGAATCTTCAGGAAACTGCCAGTTGCAGAGTGAAATTTAATGGCTATGTAATAGAGTAGAAAACCAACTGCCTGAAGTTACCAGTCTCTGAGCCTCGTTAGAGCAAGAACTCTTTGCTTTACTTCTTTGAATGTCTAGTGCTCAGTGTGTAATAGATATTCAATTAAAAATTCATTTATGGGGCGCCTGGGAGGCTCAGTCGGTGAAGAGTCCAACTTCAGCTCAGGTCATGATCTCACAGTTTGTGGGTTCGAGCCCTGCGTCGGGCTCTGTGCTGACAGCTAGCTCAGAGCCTGGAGCCTGTTTCAGATTCTGTGTCTCCCTCTCTCTCTCTGACCCTCCCCTGTTCATGCTGTTTCTCTCTCTCTGAAATAAATTTAAAAAAATTTTTTTTAAATTCATTTTGTATTTAGTTCAACAAATATTTATTAAGCACCTGCTATATGCCAGGCACATTTCTAGGAACTGTAAATGTAACAGTAAAGAAACCAGGCCTGTTTGCTGCTCTTACAGAGTATACATTCCAGGCAAGAGACAGACAATAAATAAGGAAGCAAGTACATAAATAAGAATGCATGTGCTAAGCTCTATGAAGGAAAAACAGGATGGCATGTTAAACTATAGTAGATAGGGATTAGACCCAGTGACCTGGCAATGCCTCTCTAAGGAGGTTGAGTCTTCAATGGTGAGAGCAAATCAACAATGTGAAGGTCCACTGGACGGCAAGAGAACTGAGAGTGAAAAGGTCACATGGAGACAGAGTTTGGCAGGTATGAGGAACAGATAGAGGGCCAGAAGGATTGGGGCCCCTGAAGGAGGGAGAAAATGGGTAGCAGAGCAGAAAGGAGCAGGCAAGAAGCAAACAACTGGGCCTTGCAGCCTGGGTGGCTCAGTTGGTTGAGCATCCAACTTCGGTTCAGGTCATGATCTCACAGTCAGTTCATGAGCCTGAGCCCGGGCTCTGTGTTGACAGCTCAGAGCCTGGAGCCTGCTTCAGATTCTGTGTCACCATCTCTCTCTGTCCCTTCCCCACTTTCCCTCTGTCTCTCTCAAAAACCAAATGAACATTTAAAAAAAAAGTGAAAAAAAAAAGAATTTAAATAATTGGGCCTTTGTGATGTGATAAACCATGTGTATTCAACATCCAATTGCCCTTAGAGGTTTGAGCTTAAGAATTCTTTCCTTTGTCGTTAACCTTTTATTTACTAGGGGGAAGTTACCCCTCCCACAGAAACTACATTTTATCTGACACAAACAGGGCTGGTTCCAGGTCTGGAGAGGAGGTTAACTGACAGAGAATAGCCATCTTGGGATAGAATCAAATGATAAGCAGTAACTCTGGCTTCTTATGTGACTACAAGTGAGGAAATTTGGGTTTTGGTCCAGGTTACGCTAATGCACTGACCTTGAGCAAACATTGACTGAATTATTTCCCTTAGTTTCATCCTTGCAAGAGGATGACGACATCTGCCTCCTTCAAATTGTAAAATAAGGCTGCTTAGAAAATCATGTGCCCAATACTTTAAAACATTCTTCTTTAGAAACACACTGCAGACACTCTGCTTTTCAGGTTCAGGGTATTTATGGAGATCTCGGCTCACAGTGGAATAGTGGAAGGCATGCCCCTAGGTGTTTGTTCATGGTTGCTGCCTCTCTGAAGACTCCAGCAGAAGTGTTTGAAAGGAGCGAGTCCACCGAGTCCACCGTGAGGAGAAAGCACAGGTCTCTCAAAGGTATCGTCAGCGAAGCAGAAGGATGATACAAGAAACCAGAAAACATGCAGGATACCTTCCTAGGCGGCATGTCAGAGGATAGGGACATGAGTCATGGGCATTCTCTTTGAGAATTTAATAAAATGCTGGGTATGCAATAGCTTCAAAAACATGAAGTTCAATATCAAAATAAGGGCAGGATGGACTACCCTCTGCTCTGAAGGGTGCCACTTCCACAGTTGTCTCTTTGGGACAGTCGCTCAGCTGCCTTTATGTAACATCAACAAAATAGAAGGCTTTTTTTTTTTTTTTTTTGAGAAAGAGGAATTGAGGAAAGAAGGTTCACAAAATTCAGTGGATTGAACTTTTTATGTGGGAAGAATTTGTTCTCTTGGAAGGCAATCTTTTTCTTTATTTCTTTTTAAAATTATGGCTGATTGCCCTGTCAAGGGCATCTCAGGAAGCTGTGTAGTCTGTTTGGTGAGAGTACTCTGGTCGAGTTGCAGAATTTGGTCTTGTTTTTCCTCATGAATGTCGACTGCTAATATGATTTACTGTTGCTGTGTACACTTAGCTCTCACCCTTTAGCCAACAGGAAATGACACAGCTGTGTGAATGTTGAATAATAAGTGATTGCCCAAGTGATCATCCTTTCCTCTGTTTATAACAAATTTGACAAAGAATCCATTGCATTCTTCAGAGACCGGGACCACATAATTTTGGTTGTGGATATTATAGGGCACCCATAACCCTTCCCTAGTGCCCCTTCCAAAACTTCAGTGTCTTTGTTTTTTTTGTTTGTTTGTTTTTTCTTTTTTAAATGTTTTATTTATTTCTAGGAGAGAGAGAGAGAGACAGCGT